AACAATAGAGGCCTCTATTTTCGTTCAGACAAGTCCAAAGCTACTAAAGTGTACAACATCAGTGAGATGAAACAAGTCCTGGGTAGTGACTTGTGTTCCCAGTTGCTGTTTATTCACGCCTTCACAGGATGTGATACAACTCACGCATTGTTAGTGTTGGCAAACAGACAGCATTCCAGAAACTTGTGAATGGTGAATCAACCATCCAGTCCTGTGCAAATGTGTTTCTGCTCCCACATCAAGCAAGGAATGTCATAGAGGACCATGGGACCAAGGCAATGGCAGTGTTGTTTGGCGGAAAGAGTACTGATTCACTTGCCTCTTTGCGCTACAACCTTTTTAGCAAGAAAATCGTTACCGCCAAATAATTTGTTACCCCAGAACGTCTGCCTCCAACTGAGTCCTCAACCAAATACCACTGCCAAAGAGTTTACTTCCAGATCATGGTGTGGATTGGAAAGGAAGGTGACATGAACACAGTGGATTGGGGATGGAAACTGGTGGACAACCGGTTCCTGCCAGTTATGACCAGTAAGACTGCTGCCCCAGAAAGCCTCCTGCAGATGATCCACTGTAATTGCACAACTGCCTGCCGAACACAACGGTGCAGTTGCAGGGCATATGGACTACCATGCATGCCTGCTTGTGGACCATGTCAAGTTGGGAATTGTGAGAATCACTATAATCAACCTCTATGGGAGGAAGAGTGTGACGACTAATGGTAAATCTAGTGAAGGTCACAGTGCAAAAAAGTATAAAAAATAAACCAGAATAAGAGGAAACAACTGAAGAAAATAGAAAAAGATATGTATAAATAAGAAAAGTATTAAAAAAATATAAAAAACAAAAGGCAAAAAAAAAACTAAACGCATTATAAAAAATATACAAAAATATATACAAAAATAAAACACAAAAAAATAAAAGGGGTTAGCGGTACTGAGCCTTCACGTGGCAGCCCTGTTTTGACTAATTTTACAGTACCACACAGTTCTAATGAATTTATTCTTTATTGGAATCAAAAGAATGGTTATGAACCACAGAAACCACCAACACTAGGCAAAACGATATGAGAAAGGAGAAATATGCAATTACTTAAGGGAAATTGTACTTATTTTTCGCATAAATATGCTTGTAACCAATTGCTTTAATATATAATTGTACTTGTAATCACTTATCTATCATGCAAATATGCTAATTAGAATATTACATGGCCAAAACATGTATCAGGCACCAGTATTCCTGGTCTAGGAGGAATATAAAGGAGTAATGGTCATTTTAAGGACCTGATGGCCGCCATTTTGAAAATGGGGCCTTTCTTGGAGTCAAACTTTGGTAAACTTTTAGTATGTTTTTAAGTACATCTGATACTACTGTAAACCACTGAGAAACCTTTTGTTAGAATTTTTTTGGGGTCAAGCCATATTTGCAGCTGACTAATATGCAAATTCATTCTCTGCCAGCAGGAGGCGCTTGTAAAGCGGGAGAGGTAGAGGAAATTCATTCTCTGCCAGCAGGAGGCGCTTGTAAAGCGGGAGAGATAGAGGTTTCCCCAGTAACGGCCCCAGAGTGCTCATGCACATTTCATGAAAAAGGGCTAGTAACCGTAATAACATGGTAACATGCAGTGTTGTAATTCAGCTCAAGTCAGTTCAGTGTCGATGTCATTATCAGCTCAATTCAGTTCACTGGACAGTGGTCTTTTAAACTCTTTAACTGAGCATGTCAGAGATAATGTACAACGATAATCATTTCAATATATTAATTATTAGGTTTGAAACCAGACATACATGGAAAAGCACACCAATAAACTCAGTCAAATTATTCATTTTATTGAGTTCATGCATGACTGGATGTCATGGGATAAATCATGAAAAACTATTGGTTTAGGAATTCAAGAGATCTCGTATACATAACCAGAACCAGCTCACTATTTAAAGCAGAATTTTGCTAATTTTCTGTTTTGTTTTGCACAGGCTCAGAGGGGAAGCTCACTGTTGTGGCCCAGAAGATGAGCGTTCTGTCAGGTTAATATTATGTCTTTCTGTCTCTCTCATATGCTCAGTAGGCCTGTTTTAGGCAATATGTACATGATTGTACATACTGTTTTTCTTTTGTATTTAGAGAAAATCGGATCTTATGGGGTTGAATCTTGAAAGTCTTTTTACCACTGCTAATTTGTTAAAGGAAATGTGTTTTTGCATGCGACTGCACTGCTTAATTATTTTCCTATGTAAACTTAATCTACATCTTTGTCTGTTGCACTCACATCTTGCATCTTTCACAGCTATCTCGCAAATGAACGCTGCATTTTTAGAACAAGCTAAAAGTTCCACTTTTAAAAAACGTGCATCAAGACCTTTTTTTTGTCCATTCCACTTTTTTAAATGCTACGTTTGAAAATCATACCATCTTGCATAGCTCCCAAATCTCATTCTCACTTCTGCGTCAATCTGTGAGACTTTTGCATTCACGTAACTGCCTGCTATCCTACTGATCATGGTTAACGTGTTTTTGAAACAGGAATCAGAAGTTGCAGTCATCATGCCGTCTCTGGCTCTTCCTCTCAGTCTCTGAGCTCCAGCGTGGCTGTGATGTTCATTCCATACCTGCAACAGGAAGGTGAGAACTGTACTGTTTTTTAATATACTTTAAAGGAGTCATATGATGTTGCTAAAAAGAACATTATTTTGTGGAAAACATACTTACAGTCTGTGAGTTAGACTGTAGTCTGTAGTAACTGTAGTCTACTCTCCCAGGATCAGGAAACAGTCCTCCATAAAATGCGCTGCACAC